CTAAGAATTAGATTGAAAGGGATAATAAACTGGTAATTTCTGTATGTAGAATATGTAAACAGCTGCGGTTATGTAGTCTTAAGTAATACTTGGCTTTGTAAATGTGAAAAGGTACCAAAAGCAATTCTCCGTCCAAAAAACATCCCATCTCTGTCTCTAGATATGTATTCACATTTGCTATCAACATGAGTGTTGAATTTCCCTAGCAGGATTGAGAACAAACCCACAGTTAAAACACCCAAATTGAAAAGGCCATATTAAAATTATCCCAAAACGTTTAACAGTGGTTGTGGTGGGTAGTGGATTTGTGATAGTTTTTTTTTTTCTTTTTCCACTTTCAACATATTTTTTTTCCTGTTAGTAAAATAGATTTCAATAAATCATTGAATTTGGAGCCATTGGCATAGAAGGACTAAATCCACCCTACGCGTTCATGTTAAAATATGCCTGCCAACGTACTTAGCTTGTTTTAAATGTCCCTTCCTGTTTCCTTCCATCCCTCCCTCTATTCCTGCCTTCTCTCTCCCCCTTCTCTTCTCCTTCCTTCCCTCCCTCCTTCCCTTCTTCCCTCCCCCCTTCCTCCCTCCCTCCCTTCCTTCCTTCTTTATTGCCCTATCTAAAACATCCACTACAATATTGAATGGAAATGCTGAGTTAGGACATTCTTGTTCTTGATCTTAGGAGGAAAACTTTCATTCTTTCACCATTAAGTATGATGTTAGGTGTAGGGTTTTTGCATATGGCCTTTATCAGGCTGAGTGAGTTCCCTTTTATTCCTGCATGACCAAGACTGGATTTTGTAAAATTCTTTTGATTGATTTTTAAAATGTTAAACCAACCTTGCATTAAGATCTATTCTATTGACAACTTTCAAGTGTATAATATGGTATTCTTAACTATAGTCACCATGTTGTACATTACATCCCCAGAACTTATTCATCTTATAAACAGAAGGTTGTACCCTTTGATCACCTTCACCCATTCCCCCCCTCAATCCCCCAATCCTGGCAACCACCATTCTACTCTCTGTTTCTGTGAGTTTGGCTTTTTTAGATTCCACATATAACTATATAACGGATTTCTCTGTTTGATTTATTTCTCTTAGCATAATGCCCTCAAAGTTCACCCATGTTGTCACAAATGAAGGGATTTCCTTCTCTTTACATATGTATATTTCATGCATATATATATATACACACATACATATATATGCCGCATTTTCTTTATCCATTCATCCATCAACAGACACTTAGGTTTTCATGTCTTGGCTACTGTAGATAATGGTGCAATGAATATGTGGGTGCAGGTATGTTTTTGAGACTGCCATTTCATTTCCTTCACATCTAAAACCAGAAGTGGAAGCAATGGATCATATGATCTATTTTTAATTTTTTGAGAAATCTCCATATTGTTTTCCATAATGGCTATCTCAATTTACATTCCCACCAACAGTGTACAAAGTGTTTCCTTTTCTCCACATCGTTGACAGCATTTGTTACCTATTATCTTTTTGATCAGAGTCCTTCAAATAGGTGTGAGGTGATATGTCATTGTGGTTGTGATTTGCATTTCCCTGATGATTTCCCTGATGATGCTGAGCACCTTTTCATGTACCTGTTGGCCATTTGTATATCTTCTTTGGGAAAATGTCTATTCAGGTCTTTGCCCATTTAAAAATAGGATTATTTGTGTACTATTGAGTTGCATGAGTTCCTTGTGTATTTTGGATATGAACCTCCTTATCAGATATATGGTTTGGAAACATTTTCTCTATTCCACAGGTTGTCTTTCATCTTGTTGATCATTTCTTTTGCAGTATAGAGGCATTTTAATTTAAGGTAGTCCCACTCATTTAATTTTCCTTTTGTTGCCTGTGCCTTTGGTATCATATTGAAAAAAATCATTATCAAGACCAATGTCAAGGAGCTTTCTCCTGCATTTTCTTGTAGGAATTATATAGTTCCAGATCTTACATTTAAGTCTTCACTTGTTTCATGTTAATTTTTCAAGTGGTGTAAGGGTCCAGTTTCATTCTTTTGTGTGCAAATATCTAGTTTTCCCAATACCATTTATTGAAGAGGTGATCTTTTTCCATTGAGCATTCATGGCTCCCTTGTCAAATACTAGTCGAATATACATGGATTTATTTCTGGGCTCTCAATTCTGTTCTATTGGTCTCTGTGTCTTTTACGCCAGTACCTTACCCTTTTAACTATTATAGCTTTGTAATATAGTTTGAAACTAGGAAGTGTGATGCCTCCATCTTTGTTCTTTCTCAAGATTATTTTGGTTATTCAGGGTCTTTTGTTGTTCCATATGAATTTTAGGATTTTTTTTTCTTTTTCTCTAAAATTGCCACTGAAATCTTGATAGGAATAGCATGGAATCTATAGATGGTTTTGATTAGTATGGACATTTTAACAATATTAAAGTCTTCCAATCCATGAACATGGGATATATTTCCGTTTATTTTTGTCATCTTCAATTTCTTTCATCAATAGTTTTCAATGTACAGATCTTTCACTTTGTTAAATTTATTCCCAGATATTTTATTGTTTTTGATGTCACTGAAAATTGGATTATTTTATTTTTTTCAGGTAGTTTGTTGTTAGTGTATATAAAGGCGACTTATTTTTGCATATTGATTTTGTATCTTGTAATTTTACTGAATTCGTTAGTTAGCTCAAGGAGTAATAGAGTTTTGCAAAGTTTGTGTAATCTGTTGTGGAATCTACTTCTGCACCAAGCTTTGTCTGCAGACTAATTAAATCTACACTACATTTCACACATATAAACAACTGTTTCCATATTTTATATCTGTTCTTATGATTAGTAAAATACACATTCTGTGAATGTGTATTTTACAAATCTGCCACAATCAGGGAAAATCTCATTTTCTTTGCCATGCCATAACTAATTAACAGGTTCTTTTTGTAATCAGCAAGGTTTCAGAAAACTTTGTAATCAGCAAGCTCAGAAAACTGAATACACCCAGCAATACTAAGCTCCAGGAATGCCAGCAACTGTCCATCAATCCCATCTCACTCCGGGGAAGGGGCACTGTCCAAAAGTCCCTGTGGCCTATATGCAGGATAGCAATGGCAGTTTCCAAAGAAGGATGGAGGAGAAGGAAATGTGTGTAGGCCATTGGATATAAAAGTTTAAATGTCAGAGAAGAGGTTAGAGCAGGAGACATAGATTTGGAAGATGCAATTATGCTAGGAGACCATATGGTGCTAGAAGAGTAGCACATTGTGAAAGGGGCACCCAGTGAAGGGGCACAAACACAAGTAGAAACAGGTCCAGGAAGGTGAGAACCGAAGAGAGGTCACTGAATCTTCCAACGCTGAGGTCATCTGTGGCTTTGCCCGAACAGCCTCTGTGAAGAAGTAGGAGAAGTGGGAGATGAAGAAGTGGATAAAGCTTTTTGAAGGAGCTTGGCCAAGACAGAGGGGATTGCTAGAAGGAGATACAGGATTAAAACAACAATTTTTTTTTTATTCAAGGATAGGAGAGGACTAAGTTTTTAGCTTGAGGGGGAGGAGCTGGTGGAGAGGGACCAGTTGTAGATTTGGTAGAGAGTAGAGATAAATGATGGAGCAAAGCAAAGTCATGGACGAGAGTGGAGAGGATGGGGTCAAAAGTGTTAGGAATAGGTGCCTGCAGGTAAGGAGGGCACTGGTAGGGATATTAGAGACAAGGCTGTTGAGGGAGTTCAGTAAAGGAGGTGATATTCTTCTGAGGAGGTGAGGGGGTGGGAGGAGAGTGAGGAAGACTTCTAATAGTTGCAGAGAAGGAGGGGGACACAAGAAGTAAAAATCTGTGGGACAGGGCTGAGGGCGAACTGGGGTTGAAGGTCATGAATGTGCAGTGGTACCAACCCATCCTGTGTATAGAGAGATCAAAGGCTACACAACCCCACAAAGAAGGAACTCCAGATTTCATTCCTAGCTTTCCTATGTTATGTTCAAGAGTAAATATCCTGTGGCAGTGTATCCTAGCAATTTCATTTTATGTGCTAATTGTGTTCTTCTTTCAGCCCTTCTTCTCTTCTTCCTTGTCTCTTTCTCTCTCTCCTACTCCACCACCTATGAATTTTCCCTGTATTTGTTACTCTTTGTTAGTTTGGGTCATTAAGGAAAAATAAAACCATTTAGATGAAACCTGTCTTTTATGACATCCTGTCAGGAAGCTCTCAGGAAGCTCAGGACCTTAGGGGGGAAAGGGAGAGGAGTAGGGCTTCAGAACAATGTCCCATCAGGGGCTTCCCTTTAATTGCAAGGGTTCTGTCTATCTCTCAAATTCTCCAAGTCTCCAAGCTTGGTGTAATGGGGGTCTACTCAGTCAAGGATGAACTTCAAGAGAAACTGAGTGTATAGGGAAATGCAAACACTCTGCCTTTGGAGAAGTTTTAAAAAAATGTTTACCGTGGTAATGGACAGCTGGGTGACTTTCCATTTTAGAACTCTACCCGTCTAGTCAATAGGTGCATTATGCAAAACTGGATACATTGCATCACCGTGAAGGACTTTAGACTGCGGTTTGCAAAAGCAGAATAAATTTTCTCGGAGTTGCACCGTTATGTACACACACACACACACACACACTCACACGCCCATTGGCAGCGACGGCCACACCTCACGGCTCCGGGGGAAGCCACAGACCTCATCTGTACGAGCTGAGCCTGGACTAGAGGAACTTTCCGCGGGACTCAGGACGGACAGCCTTCTCCCCCCCCCCCCGCCCCCAACATACACACACACGCGGCTGTCGGCGAGCCGGAGCTCCAGGCGAGCGCGGCGGCGGCAGGTCCTCGGTGCGCCCCCGCGTCAGGGCCTGGGCAGTGCGGCGGCGGCGGCGGAAGGCTCCCGGGCTGCAGGGCCCGGTGCCAGTGTGCGCGCGCCAGCCGGCCCCGGCAGCCGCGTCCCCCGTCCGGCCCTCGCAGCCCGCCTCTGCGCCCTCGGGCCGCCAGTCTCCCGCCGCGTGCCGCGGCCGCGAACATGGCTGCGCACCGCGCAGCCACCCTTGCCTGCTCGCTGCTGCTCCTGTCCGCCGCTCTGCTCCGCCGCGGCTGCCGGGCGCGCTTTGCCGCGGAGCCCGACTCGGAGCACGACGAAGAGGAGCCGGAGGTTTTCCCCGAGTCGCCGGTTCAGAGACCCACGGTGCTAGTGGCCATCCTCGCCCGCAACGCTGCGCACGCGCTGCCTCACTTCCTCGGCTGCCTGGAGCGGCTGGACTACCCTAAGAGCAGGATGGCCATCTGGTGAGCGCGCGCGAAGCTGCGGCCGCCGGGCCCTGGAGCGTGGGGCACGCGCCGAGCGCTGTGCGCACACCTCCGGCAGCCCGCGCCGCTCCGGGGCGGATGAGATCCCGAGGTCGTGTTGGGGAAGGACGCGTGCGGCTGGGTGCGCCTGGGATGCCAATGGGGATGGCCAGCCCGCCCCGAGCTCCAGGGTGTGCGTGGGGGTGTGGATCGGGGTGGCCTCGTCCCTTTCCCCGATAGGGGCTTGTGGGCACCCCGCAAGAGGGCTAGCGGCGCCCCTTTCCAACTCGCGAGGTTTCCTTTTTCCCGCCTCGTACCCCTAGCCCTGGGGAGAGGGAATAGGGGTGCCCATCGCCGCCTAGTCGTCCAGACGCGGCGAGAGGCCTCACTGTGACTGGCAAGGGGGCTCCGGAGTGGCTAGGCGGCGAACAGTGAGCCGCCCTGGCTTCCCGGTGTCCAGCTCCTGCTCTCTCACCTCGGAGGCTAGAACAGTGGCTCCTGGTTCACCCGAGGACGGTGGGGTGGGAGCTCGGGGGTGGAGAGGGGATATGGACTCAGAGTTTGAGGTTAGGTGGGGCCCACGGTGTCTTCCCAACCGCGCCGCCACGGTGGGCCCTGTCGCCTCCGCCTGCTCCGGGCTGTCCGCGCCTGTGCATCCTCCTGGGGCTCATTCCTCGCCGCAGCTGCAAACCACGCGGGGTGCCCTGGGGGGTACTGTGTCCTGGGCACGGAGCTGCCTTGGAGAAGGCAGACAGTTTTGTTGCCCCGGGATGGAGCCCCGCGCCTGGTACTGTGTTTGTTGCGGGGAGGGCTAGGACATCAGTGTGAGTGGCTGCCCGCACCAACTTTTAGAACTCGGTGTAGTCTCGCACTTTTTAGAAACGCGGGCATCAGAGGGCGAGACGTTGGTATTCAGGGGAGCCCCGCTAAAAGGCCTGAGGAGGAGGAGGTGGTGGACGCTGGCCTCGGGAGACAGGCAGCCGGGAACGTGGACAGGAAGACTCTGGTCCTCCGAGGAAGACAGAGTCCAGGTCAGTCCGGAGCAGTTTCTATCTTGCGTTGATAAAGGGAGCCATCCTCAGACAAGACACATCCTTAAAGCTGCGGCTGGGCAGAAAGAGAGAAGGGAGGATAAAGCAGTAGCTGGAATTGGCAGCCTGACGGTAGCTGGTGGGAGAGGTGCGGAGGTGAGAAAGCAAACATGAGATACAGTGCAGCGCTGTGCTATACACTGCTTTACTATTACCCTGTTATACGTGACAGCTGCCACGGAGAAGGGCACGGCGTGTGGAAAGGGAGAACGGGTGCAGCCAGGTTTTAAACCAGAAGGAAGAAGGATTTTTTTTTTTAACCACTTCAATACCAAAGAAAATTTCACAAATGTCAGTTCTTAGATGCTTTCTTCAAGAGAGATGTTTTACAATATGGTCTTGGTCTGTATGCACTGTTTGGTTTTAATTTACTATAGGAAATTAGTGAAGGCTGAAGCAGGTAGGAGGGGCACAGGTTTTGCTACCTAACGTACAGACGTTCCTCTCTTCTAGCGTGGGGTGAACTTTTAAAAGGGCTACGAGGATCCCTATTTTACAAATGAAGCAACTGCGACTTCCATCAGTTCAATAACTCCCTTAAAGTCACAGAATTAATAAATGGTAAAACTGGAATTGGAACTCAAGTTTGTCCCTAAAGTCTACCCTACAAAAATAGTGGTGGCAACATGATACAAACAAAATTTATATAAACCTATAGGCTACAAATTAGGAGGCAAGTGGTTTGTCACTAGCTTGATATGTGGCTTTGGGCCGGTTGCTTGGGGTCCATAGACATCAGTTTCCTCATCAGTAAAATGAAGGAATTGGAAGAAATGATTTCCAAAATTCTTTCCAGGTCTTAAATTCCATGGATTCTGTGATATCAGAATGAAGCAGCAATGATTGTGCATCCTAAGTCCTCTGGATGTTCCATATTTTGTGGTTGTTGATGTTCTTTTCACATGGCTAGTGTTCCAATGCTTCACTGAGTTTTGGGATCTATTTTCCCTTAACCTTGTTAATAGTCCATGTAACTGTACCTTGTCCCTTATGGCCAGTGTTGCAAAGTTAAGGAAAAAACCCAAGGTTTGAATAGGCCTTGGGCAACCACTGCATTAGCCACTAAAGACTCTTCTTTGAATTCTGGTTTAGAAGCCTTATATCATTTATTAGGTAATAGTAAACAAAAGGGCAGTTTAAAAATGGTCCTCTACAGCTCTCAAAGTACTTTCATTAACTATGTCATCTCATTTGATCCTTACTACCGTCCTGTAAATAAATAAACTTATTTCCATTTTATAGAAGAAGACATTGTATCTAAAGTAACTGACTTAAGGGCGCCTGGGTGGCTCAGTCGTTAAGTGTCTGCCTTTGGCTCAGGTCATGATCCCAAGGTCCTGGGATCGAGCCCCGCACTGGGCTTCCTCCTCAGCAGGAAGCTTGCTTCTCCCGCTCCCACTCCCCCTGCTTGCGTTCCCTCTCCCCCTGTCTCTCTCTGTCAAACAAATAAATAAAATCTTAAAAAAAATAAAGTAACTGACTTAAGATTACACTTATTTATCAATTTCACAAATACTTAATAATAAGAGCCCACAGTTATTCTAAGCACTTTACATTCACTATCAGGTATGTATTGTGATCATACCCTTTTACAGATGAGAAAACTGAGGCACAGAGAGGTTCTGCAAGCACACACTCCTAATGACCAGCTTTTGTGAGATCGAGGCACTATGCCAGGTTCCAGCTGAAAAAAAGTTGAGTAAGGTGTGGCTTTTCACAGACAAATATGGCTCCTTTTACTGGGCAGTGTAAGGTGATCTGAATGGCATGTATAGGGTTTAGGGGAGTGACAAAGGACTTCTAGATCAGATTGCATGGTCTTGGAAGCCTTCTTGAGGAGAGTTGACACTTAGTTGGAACCCAGTTATGCAAGACAAATAGGAATCTACTAAAACCTGGGCAGTAAGGAGGGTTCCAGGAAGAGGGAACAGTGAGGGAGGAAAAAAAGACACTGGGACATTAACCACAGTTTCCTGTCAGGGCAATAAAGCAGGTGGCTGGTTTATTGAGTGCAAATCTCCAAACTCATTGCATTGTACCACCGAAGTTGCTAACTTTGAGATGGCGCTAGGCGAGTATTTGGCTGTGAAGGTTATGGGATATTACCCTCCAGGAGGAAGCTGTAACTCAATTTAGGATGCTACAAGGAGCTTCTGCCAACTACTTCCTTTTAGTCTCGTAGTTGAAAGCTCTATTCAACATTCTGAGATGCCAAACTGACTAGTATCCACTCTGCAAAGCCGGCATACACTAATGTCAAAGATGGTCAATGTCAAAAATGGCGTTAGCTACCCAGAACTTTACACAAAGAACCAGGTGGTGTATAGAATCTGGGCTGCTAGCTTCCATTTAATCTTATCTCCCGAGCTCTGTGCACACTCCACTTTCTCATTCATCTACTTACCTTTATCACTGGCTAGAGGAACATCTGATAAGACTTCTTTCCTGTACGAGTGAGAGGTGTGGTTCATTGAACACATTCAGACTTCCTGTTGCTGTAATTTTTTTTGCCCATTGAAAGTTCTGGACCATATTTGCAGGCAGTACCAATAAATTGTCCCAAAAACTTTGACTGTCAGAGACTGAGTACAGTTATCTCAGTTAGCATTAAGTTTATTTGGATTGGATTGAATTAAGGAAAGTTTATGTTTTAGAGATACTTTGTACCAGGCAAAGAGAAAACATGTCACATTACCTGTCTGATCTCAAAACCCCCATCAAGCAAACTGTTTTCCTTCAAATATAATAATGATAATAAGGAACTAATGTTCCTCGTGTTCTAATTAAAACCTGCACTGAGTTGATGGGAATCACTGCTGTGCCGAGATGAAGAGAACCGTTTGGCATGTGGCGTGTGGCATATGCACTGCAGTGGGTGCACTTTACTTCAATGGAGCCATGAACGGTGGCCTTAGCGACGGAGGGAAGGCTGACCTCACCCCCTTTCCCAAACCTATGATTAAGGGGAGGAGTGCCAAGTTGCCATGATAATGAAAAATGGAGCAGGACACAAGGAAAAACATTTGACCCAAAAGACGCATTCAGTTTGTCTCGTGGAGCCTGTGGGAAGACAGTGGGGACTCAGAGTCTGTGCCATCATAAGGCAGTAACTGCCATGTAATTATACAACGATTTGGGCATTACATTTGGGAGGTTTGAAAAGTAGCATACTACACTGGGAACCATTGTATGGCTTTCTAAATCAGGAGATGGTTTTCTGTTGACATCGACGTTAACATTGGTGGACTTCTGCTTGTTCTGGGGTGTCGATCCCCACATTTTGCACACTACTTCATCGCTGCAGTGTTTGGGGGATTACCTTGGATTATTCTCCACTTCTTGATGCTCAACAAGTCGCATTTTGGTGAATGATTAACTAGACACACTAATATAAGTGTGTTTGTAAAATGTTTCAAACTACTACTAGTGATAGTTTTCAGCACCAGCAAGAACAATGTTACTTTTTATCATTACAGTCTTGACATTCAATGCTTATGTTATCCCTATGGGTAGAAGTTTCAGCTCCTTGGTGAAAAACTAGATGATACTTTGGTCCTCTTCTCTCCATTAGTCTGTTTTCATCACTTTTCCACCTTCTTTTTCTTATTTTTTTTCCCCCAGCCTGGTGGTTTAGTAGTACCGAGGAGGGGAGTATCCAAGCTTATAGTCAGGTATGCTAGGGCTTGAATATCCTGTGTGATTGTGGGCACATCAGTGAACCTCTAACCAAGCCTAGCTTCTTCATCTGGAAATAACCAATTATAACACCTATCTCCAAGATTTTTTTTTAACAAGTTTTTAAACAAGTGAAATAATGTAGGGACTATGTCTTTCACGTAAATGTTAATAAATAGACAATAGTTGCTATTTCCTATCCATCTTTTCCTTTTGGCCCCATGTCCTTCACCT